TGATATAAACTTGTGATCAAATCCTAGTTCTTTCATTACCTCGAAAAGGAATGACCATTCCACACGATCGTAAGCCTTTTCCATATCTAACTTTAATGCCATCCATGTTCTTTGACCAGAGGTCAGAGTTCGGAGATGATGAGTTATCTCATGGCTAATTAGAATATTATCGGATATTTGACGGCCTTTGATGAAACCATTTTGGGTTTGGGATATTACACTGGGGAGGACCCGGCTTAGTCTATTAGCCAGAATTTTTGCTATGATCTTGTAGACTACTTGACATAGGCTAATAGGTCCGAGATTTTTCATTGATCTCACTTCTGCCGATTTTGGGACAAGAGAAATCCAAGTCCTATTGATAGATCGTAATAGATGACCCGAATGAAAGAAAGCAAGGACTGCTTGAGTGACATCGCTGCCAACCATATCCCAGTATGCTTGATAGAACCCAGCTGTGAATCCATCTGGTCCAGGGGCTTGAGTTTTCCCCATACTGAAGACAACTTCTTTGACCTCTTCTGGTGTGATGCGATCGATAAGAGCTTGATTTTGTTCTTCAGAGACGAAGCATTCAAATGGCAGGTTAGATAAGTCAATACCTTCAGTAAGTTGAGACCGAAACAAGGTTTGATAAAATTCAACTGCTATGCTTAATTTCCGGTCCCCGTCAGTACACCATAGACCCCTAGAGTCCTCCAAACCCCAGATGAAATTGGCCTGACGCCTAATTGCCGTAATCATATGAAAGTATGGGGTGTTGCGATCCCCTTCTGTTAACCAGTTGACGCGCGACTTTTGTCTCCAAAAGATTTCTTCCATTCTATACTGAACTTCTAACCTTTCTTCTAGAGAATGAATCAGGTTCCAATCCACTACGCTATTTTCCCGTGCTTCAACAAGAGCTGAATTCAGGTCTTTTATCAGTCTGGCTGAGTTAGAGGTACCCCCTTTGCACCAATCGACTAGGGCGTGACGAACTCTGAGCAATTTGTAAAATAGACAAAATTGTAGGGACCCAGTTATGGGTAAATTCCAAACATAGTCTATTATGAGTTTTGCTTCATGCATTCTAGTCCACCTAATGTCAAAATGGAATAGACGTTTAGCTCTAGACATTTCCGGTTTTGTCATGAGGTACAGGAGTCTATGATCTGACCCTTTATCTGAGAGATGATATAGACAGGAGTTCGGCCAGTGGAACGCCCAACTTGTGGAGACAAATGCTCTGTCAATTTGTTGCTCGATTAGGATGCCATTTCTACCCCGGTTAGTCCAAGTAAACTTTGGTCCCTGGAATCTCACTTCTAGCAGACCCAAAGTATTTAGAAAGTCCCAAAGGGGGCGGGCTTTGTCCATACGCCATGGGGCTCCTCCTGATTTCTCAACCGGAGATAATGAGCAATTGACATCTCCAATTATTAGAAAGGGGTCTGACAATCTTGAACAAAATCTATTAAGTTCCTCGAGTTGTGAGCGACGATTTGTTACTATGTATGAAAGGTAAACTCCTACTAACACAAAACGAGGACAAGCACCGTAGCAATGGGAGTTATTATTGATGACCGAAATGGCGATGAAAAAAGGGGTTGAGCCAATAACTGACACCGAAGTACCTCGTGGCCACCCAAATACTAAACCCCCCGACAGGCCGGTAGGGTTAACTGGAAAGCAATCTGAAAAACCTAACCGTGACATGAAAGACTCAACTTTATCTCTAGGAGACATTGTTTCACAAAGAAATAAGAAAGACTTAGACAAATTTCGGTGAGCTTTTAGCGTTTGGAATGTCAAGGTACTCCCCACCCCTTGACAATTCCACGCGTAGACATTCATTCAGAGTGCTGGGGCCAGTTGGGGCTGGCTTCCTCCACCCTTTTTCCTTTGTTTTTATCCTCGCCTGGACTCTTTGGAGTGAAATTTACCACTCCTTCTTCTGGTTCTTGGATACAGATTCCAGTATTTCTTCGAACGTAAACTCTTGGGGACTCTGACGACTCAATCAATATTGTCTTCCCTTTTGACTTCCCATCCGCCACGCACCCTAACGGGGAACAAGAGAAGGCTGTATCTGTAGATTGATCCATACCTTCATTATCAAAGAAATCCATCCCTACTCCTTGCAATCCAGAAAAGTGATTATCTTCAAAATCATCAAATAAAAACCCAGGATCTTCACTGCAATATAAGTTAACTAACCCATAAGAGGGTGATGGAGCCTGAACTTGGAGCGGGATGGGCTCCAGCACCAATGGCTGGACGGACAGCGCCTCAGAGTTGACAGGCTCAAGTCTGTTTTGGGCTTGGTTGCCAAGAACAGTCTCCATCGGCAGTTGGGCCGACCTGTTATCAATCGCCACTTCTATTGGCTGGGCCCATTCGTTTTGCGGCCCAAGTCTTGTAGGCCCAGTCGCATCACCAAATTGGCCCGCGCTTCCAGCTGCCTCTCTTCTTCCTTGTCTGAATGACCAAGGCGGACCCTGTCTCCCGCCGCCGCTGTTCTCACCACCATTACGAGACGGAGCTTCGAGAAGAAGAGTGCTGGTTCGTGACTGTGGAGAAGGTCGGGCTCCGTGGCGCCAGACATTGCCTCCCCATTTTCGACCTCCTTTGCGGACAGTTGCGTAGGAGTTTTCGTTAAGTTTCGGACCGGTTCGACTTCCGATGATCTCCGGTCCGAACCCATCGTCTCCTGTTATCGATTCAAAGGAGCAGAAGCTTTGACTATGGCCTATTCTTCGGCACCTGAAGCACACTGATTTGATGTTCTCGTATTTGAGAGAGACCCAGAAAGGATCCCCTAGCGTTCCATCTGCATTTCTCTTTCTAGCTTCCAGTCGATGTTGCAAGGGGGACGAAACATCAATCAACACTCTGGCTTTGAACACACAGCCCGGGTTTTCCCAAACAGCGTACATCCCAGCATCAATGACGGAACCCAATCGGGAAGCTATCAGCCTTCCAAGAGCAACTGTTCTGTATTCTTCAGGCAGATTCCAGAACTGAACGAGGTATGGGTTCGAGGAAGACGCGCTCAGATGGAGTTTCCCACTTTTTTAAAGTGAGAATCTTTGAATGAAGGAACCACGGGGCCTTCCCCAAGGCCTCCTGACGATCAGTTACATTGGAGAAGACAAGCTGGAACAGACCATGTTCCGCATCCAGTACGGTGACCGGAGCTCTTTTTGCCCATAAATTGTTGGCAGTGTGCTGAACTCGGGTTCTGGAAGGATGGGACGAGCACAGCAGACGGCCTATCAAGCTCAGGCGAGCCATGTTTTGGCCAGCTTCCAGCACTTCATCATTAAATTCAATTGTCCCTGCCATTGTGAGGAAAGGAGAGAGCAGAGAGTACTCTGTTTTTCTGAGAGTGAAACAGGGGAAGGAATTCGGACGGCTGGAAAATCGGTAGGAAAATCCGATTTCTGAGAAGCTTTTAAATGATTCTGTTTTTGAAGAGGGAAACAGGTAGGCTTTAACAACTTGGGCCAAATTAGTGCCTCTATTAGCGGGCTTGTGTTGATTTGCAGTGGGTGGAGAATTAAGGCCATGATCAAATACCAAGCCGTTTCGACTGGTTATGTCCGAGACGTTTCCTCCATAATACCCAATTAATGATTCCTGCGATTTTGAATTTCGATTCGGGCTAATGATTACCCCAATTGCGCCCCTAAAGGTACGCTTTCCAGGCTTAATTGCAGCCTTGAACCCTCTAATAATGGGATCGAGGGACAATGATTTAATTGCAATCAATACCATTTAAGAGCATAACGGTTCATCGGGGGCTCATGGTGAACGGCTGTCGACTTACTCGATGCCGGAGATTGATCGGAGATTCTGGGACGAGGATTTGATTCCGGCGGCCAGGGATCCTTCCGTATCTTGAGGGGATTTTAGGGACGGTGATTGCGGGCGGGTGTTTCTCCCGGAATCAGGGAGCACAATTTGGGGCGAAAAGGATTTGGACTGGAGGAGAGGTCAGCTGAATCCAGGCTTATATACTGCTGTCTTCTGCCTATTTAAGGCACTAGACGGTGGTTCCCGCCTGAATGTGCCGTTGCTCCCTGCCGTTTGCTCCCTCCAGAATCTTGGCGTCACCGCCAAGTCTTCGAGTTAGTCTGGGCATTCAGAGGGAACGAGACTAGGCATTCAGTGGGATCGGCTGAGAAGAATGCAGGGGCTGGAATCTGCACGTATGGGGTCTTTACCCGAAGATTACAATCGGAAGACAGTGGCGACGGTTACAGAGGATCACTTCACCTTCCCTCAGACTGAAGGATTCATGCTCGAGATCCAGCGGGAGGCACAGAACTTGGAGAAGCTTCTGGATCCCAGTGGTGAGCCCACCATTGCCGCGCCAGAGCGGCTCCTTCATCTTCCAACAGTAGAAGATCGGACGCAACCCGCTAAAATTGAGTCAATTGAGGAAAACCCACAATCTCAGGCACTCACGACCCACTGCCTGAACCGGAGACTCCAGAGGGTCCCCTTCCGCCTCCGCCGCTGCCGCCACCAGCGAGGCTGCTCTTGCGATTTACCCGGATGCTGGAGGGCTTGGGTAGTGGAATTAATGGGCGGGCGATTTCGGAGAATCCCATGAAGTTGATTCATTTTCATCTCGTCGCACAACCGTCGTCGCCGTCTCCCCCCCCCCCCCCCTGCAGGTTGCAGGATAATAGATCCCCCATCAATAGCATTCCATCACGGCGTAGTAAACACAAAATCTCTCCAACTTTGGAGTTTAATTAACTCCTCCCCTCCCTCCCCCACGTTTACGCCTCTATCCAAACAAAGCGTAAAAGAGAGGGATGAGGCATGTGGAAAAGAGGGTGATTGTTGAATGGGCCCCACTTGATGAACTCTAGCTCCTAGTGTTTTGGTTGATTACATAAATGATAAAACAGTTTAATGAGTAGTAGATTCAAAATCATCGTTTTTATAATAAGAATTTTACGGTATGGTATAAGTAGGTACAAAAAAAATTAACTAATTAAATCTGTTTACTGCCTCACTGTCGCGTACACGGTCCCCGTCACGGGGATGTCCGATTCCACCACCACTCGATTCCTGGTTACATTCCTCAGCGCGTGCCTCGGAAACTCACTCCCGATAGAGGTGAGCGTGTAGTGTGCGTGGGTAATCCGGCGCGGGAACAGCAGAACCCGATTGAAATCCACCACCCACGACGTCTTCCCTCTCCCCTTTGTGGACCCACGCGCCACTGTTGCCTTGAGACCCATACCGCCGCCGACCTCGTTCCCGTCCACCAGCACGTTGTCGATGTCCTCGAACTTCCCGTCCAGCACCACCATCTTCCCCCTCAGCCCGCTGAACATGTTGTTCACCACCGTCACCCACTTCGCCACGCCGATTTTCGACTTGAACACGATGAAGGCCTCGAGGAAGAAGCTGTTGGCGACCGTGAGCTGCACCGGGTCCTCGGCCACGATTCCGGTGAAGTCGAGGTACGAGTTTACAATGTGCGTTTGGGCCCGGCCGCTGAGGTTCAGGTAGATACCAACCCCGCCGTACCTGCAGTTGCAGAGCCCTAATTCATAGTTTTTAAATGTAAATTTAATTTTATTGTTGAGATTTTTGGCTGCTGCATGCGTACTTGTGGCCCTTGTTGTAGCAGTGGACCCCACTAAGGAAGTTGGCCTGGCGGGTGATGTTGATCCCGACAGCGGCGGAGAAGATGACGACGTTGGTGATGGCGTTGTCGCCGCTGTTGAGGGCGATGCCCGTGCCGGAGAAGTGGCGCTCGTGGACGTCAGAGCCGTTGGTGATGTGTTGGCCGATGAAGGTGTTGCGGACGAGGTTGTCGAGGCCGCCGTTGATGGAGATCCCGTCGGTGGTGAAATGGGTGATGTAACAGTTGTCGATGGAGATCCGGGCGGAGTCTCTGATGAAGACACCGCCGCCTCGGAAGTTGGAGTCGAGCATTAGGTCCCTCAGTGTTATGTACTCGTAGTCGTACTTCTTCGCCGTCGACGACCACCTAGAAGAAGTCGATAGGTTGATTAAGTATCCGTCGGTCGGGAAATCGTCGGATGCGCGAAGGGAGCCTCCGAAAATCTGTTGGCGTATCAAACCAAAACAAGTAACACAAAAATAAATCAATGTTGTCACTCACTCACTAACATGTTGGATCTTGGTCCAACCAATACGCAATTAATTAATGTGTAAGTTTTAAATTAGAAATTGTATAACACCTGTTCCATAATTTATCATTTTGATCGATCATACCATGTTTGTGTAAAGACCCATTCTTAGATCGTCAAGTTTAATATGATGAAAAAAGAAATAAATACATTTTCATGAAAATTATTTTGGAATTACTTGTGTACGTGTTGTGGATTTTTTTAGAATATAATTTGGAATTTATGTTTTATTTTGGAATTACTTTAGCACGACGTTACCACGACGTTGCCAAATGCTGATAGATGATGAGATGAGTTACCACGACGTTGCCGACGCCGCCAACAGGAAAGCGGAGGGGCCGGCTGATGAGGTAGATGCCGCCGGCGAGATTGATTTGGGCGCCGCCAAAATTCTTGATCATGCCATGGAGCATGGTGCCAGAGGTGGGGCCTCTCAGTACATCAGCAAATACCTTCAATAATGCCTCCGTGCTGTCTTCCGTCCCCGTCGGATCGGCGCCATACGCGCTGACTTCATACACACGCGAAACAGCTCTGCCGTGGTGGCGGTGCACCGTCTACATGCATGGATGGCGGTGAGCAAGGATCTACTTACTTAGCTTGTAAAGAATTATTTAGAACGTACAAAATAATAATTAATTAATTAATTAATTATTTATGTACCTGCCGCGGCGGCGATGAAGGGATGGAGACAGGGGAAGGACGGCGGGAGGCGATGGAGGACTTGAGCATTGCTTCTAACAACGCTTTTGTTGTTTAGGGTTTCAGAGGATTCAACGTACCTCCTCCCTTCTTCACATTTCATATAAATAGTCTGGTTCGATTACAAGCTCCAGCTGTGCTGGTGAAAAGGACGACAGTGAAAATGGAAAAGAACAAACAGTAAAAGAGGTCGTTGTCGACCGTTACAAAAGAAGCAGCGCTATTGGTCCATTCAAGACGAACCGCAGCGAGACGCGTGTCCACCTGGATCCGGATTGGAATTAATAGAAACGGCAGCGTTCAGGGTCTTGGTGGTCTGGCTTCCTTCTGATCCACGTTTGTGACTTGAGGGAGAAGAAAATTCATCATTTTCTTCTGTTACCCCCCCACAAGCAGGAGGGTACAGATTGAGGACCCCCAGCTTGGAGAGAAGAGAATCAAAAGGACCTGGAGAGAGAGGTTTAGTGAACGTGTCTGCCAGCTGATGATCAGAACGAACATGGAGAACTTTGATGATGCCAGCTTGGAGTTTCTCCCGAACCAAGTGACAATCAAGCTCTATATGCTTGGTTCGTTCATGGAAGGTGGGATTTTCTGCAATGTAAACAGCAGATTGGTTATCACAATAAAGGCTCACAGGTTGAGGATGAGGGACCTTGAAGTCATTGAGGAGGTAAAGCAGCCACTGAATTTCACATGTTGTATGAGCAAGGGCTCGATATTCAGCTTCACATGAAGATCGAGAAATGGTAGTTTGTTTCTTGGACTTCCAAGAGATAAGAGATTTCCCAAGGAAAATGCAGTAGCTTGTGATTGACCTTCGTGTATCTGGACATGCCCCCCAATCTGAGTCACTAAATGCTTGAAGCGACAAGGACGATGAAGCAGGGAAGAAGAGTCCATAACCAGGATTGCGTTTGATGTAGCGCAGAATGCGAGTGACAGCTTTCTTATGAAGAACAGATGGCGCTCCCATGAACTGACTCACCTGCTGTGTAGCAAAACTTATATCAGGCCTCGTGGTAGTCAAGTAAATGAGTTTCCCTACCAGGCTCCTGTAGGCAGTGGGGTCAACCTTGTCTGCACCATCATTAGAGCTCAAATGAGTCTTGTAGTCCATGGGAGTGGTAACTGGCTTAACTCCAAGATGACCTGCATCATCAAGTATCTCTAAAGCATACTTTCGTTGAGAAAGGTGAATGCCCTTATCAGAACGAGCCACTTCCAAACCCAAAAAATACTTGAGACAGCCTAGGTCTTTAATACTGAAGGTATGATTCAGATGAGCCTTGATCCTGTTGATTTCAGTGGCATCATTCCCCCCCACAATTAAATCATCAACATAAACCAGAATAGCAGTATAGGAAGTAGGAGTAACTCTGGTGAAAAGGGAATGATCAGCAAGACTCTGTGTATAACCTTCTTGAATCAAACTATCAGAAAGTTTGGAGAACCACTGCCTTGAGGCTTGTTTCAAACCATAGAGGGATTTGTGTAACTTACAGACTGGATTAGGAATGCCAGGAGGTGCTTCCATGCCTGGAGGAAGTGCCATGTAGACCTCCTCATGGAGGTCACCATGCAAAAAAGCATTGTTGATATCAAGCTGCTGAAGAATCCAGTTTCTGGAAGCTGCAATTGCCAAGAATAACCTTAGAGTTGTCATCTTCACAACAGGTGCAAACGTGTCCAGGTAATCAATCCCTTCCCTCTGTGTGTACCCCTTTGCTACTAATCTTGCCTTGTGGCGTTCAATGTCACCAGTAGACAGATATTTAATCTTGTATACCCACTTACAGCCTATCTTCTTCTTCCCTTTTGGTAAAGAAACAACTGTCCAAGTTCCATTCTTCTCAAGGGCAGTTCTTTCTTGGTGCATAGCCTCATTCCAAACATCATGTTGAGAGGCCTGTGCATATGTTTCTGGTTCTGTTCTAGCAGAAATAGACATAACATAGTGTCTATGGGAAGGAGAAAGTTTGGAATAAGAGAGATAAGAGCTGATTGGGTACCTTTTGCTTGTAGTCACAGGACTTGTCTTGGAAGCAAATAATTGGGACCTGCGAGTGACCAAGTTCTCACAATCATATTGGCTAAGGTGACTAGGGGGTTTGATGACACGAGGTGGTAAGACACGTGTGGGAACTGAGGTGGAAGGGGCAAGGTGAATGGGAGGAGGAGTTTCAGGTGGGCTATCAGTGCTGCTGTCATCATCTGAGGAAGTGGTGCTAACAGCATCAGCTGATGTAGGTGAAACAGCAGGAGAAGGAAGGTAATCAAGGTCATCTGATGCTTGGATAGGAATGGAATGAGTGATTGGAGTATCAATGTTTCCAGAAGAAGAAGTGGAAGACATTGTGAATGGAAAAGTGGACTCATGGAAAATAACATGCCTGGAGAGGAAAACCTCATGATTGTCCAGATCATAAAGTCTATACCCTTTGACTCCAGCAGTGTACCCTAGGAAAATGCACTTCCTAGACCTGGGAGAAAACTTAGTTCTTGTGCTTGGGAGTGTAGAAGCAAAGCAAAGACACCCAAACACCTTTAGAAAACTAAGATCAGGTGGCTTGTTGTAAAACAGTTCATAGGGTGAGATGTTCCCTAGAATTTGAGAGGGAATTCGATTTATGAGAAATACTGCATGTCTTACACAGTCAGACCAGAATTCAATAGGCAAGTTTGCTTGAAATTTAAGTGCCCTAGCCACAGCTAATATGTGTTGATGTTTTCGTTCCACTTTGGAGTTTTGTTCTGGTGTTTCAACACAGGACATCTCATGAATGATCCCTTTTTGAGCATAGAAATCATTCATTTTGAATTCTGATCCTTGGTCACTTCTGATCCTAATGACCTTACTGGAGAATTGGGTTTCAACCAAATTGCAGAAGGAGATAAGGTGTGTTCTGGCTTCAGATTTTTGTTTCATAAGAATGATCCATGTTAGCCTACTGTGATCATCAACTATGGTTAGGAAGTAACGATAACCATCATGTGAAGGGTGTGAAAGAGGACCCCAAATATCTGTATGTATAAGCTCAAAACGTTTTGCAGTAGTAGTAGTGCTAACAGGGAAAGACAACCGTTTCTGCCTTGCAAAATGGCATACATCACATTTGTTGCTATGAACTATGTCTATACTAGGATGTAGTTTTCGAAGGTAAGGAATTCGAGACTGAGAGACATGGCCTAACCTATAATGCCATAGATTGAAAGACTCAGTTGTGCTTGAGGCAACAACTTTCACAGGACTACTGACATGCTTCCTATCCAGTTTGTAGAGACCATGGTGCAGCTCAGCAGAACCAATCATTTGCATCCTCGACATATCCTGGATAAAGCAAAAGGAAGAAGAAAAAACAAGGCAGAGGTCAGTTCGTTTGGTGAGTTTGCTCACAGACATGAGATTGAAACTGAATTCAGGAACATATAAGACATCTTCCAAGATCAGATTCTCAGAAAATTTCACTCTTCCCATGTGGGTGGCTTGAACTGAGTAACCTGTAGGCAAAGTGATCTGCACATTCATTATCTTTTTGGAGCTAGAGAATAGACTAGGATCACAGATAACATGATCTGTTGCTCCTGTATCAAGTATCCAAGTAGTTTCTTCTAGGACACTTGTCTGAGGTAAAACAGATAAACCATACTTGCCTTCATCATTACAGGTCTTACTAATGAAGGCAGCTGCTGAATGTGCTGGAGGAGTGGAGGATTGACTTGGACTAGGCAAAGCAACACTGCCCTCCTTTTCCTTGAGAAGGTTCATGAGTGCTTCATATTGATCCCTTTGAATCATGACCCCATCTGAGCTGGAATCACTTCCCATTGCTGCATTGGCTTGCCTGTAAGTACCTTGTCCAGTGCCTCTACCTCTTGGACTCATTCCAGGAGGCCAGCCATGCTTGTGATAGCATGTGTCTTCAGTATGACCATGCATCTTACAGTAAGTGCAGAAAGGTCTTGAGCCAGGAGACCTTCCTCTTCCTCTGCCCCTTCCTCGAGTTCCAGAGGCAGGGCTGTAATTCCACTCTGTCCTTTGTGTGTCTGGAAGCTTCAGACCCAAAGATTGTAAAGCCATGGCAAGTGATTCCACAACTTTTCCCTTGTCTTGTGTGTTTCCAGTCATCTGACGCTCATGTTGAGCCATCTTATAAAAGATTTGATCCATGGTAGGCAAGGGTTCTGTGAACAGGACCTGAGATCTAGGAATGGAGTAGTTCTCATTCAGACCACGCAGAAAATGGACAATCAAGTTGGTTTCCTCATGTGCTTTCACAGTTTTAATTGCTTCACATTCACTATGACTAGTGGTAGTGCAGAGACATGGTGGAATCGACTGGTAATTCCTTAATTCTTCCCAAATGGTTATCAGATGGGTATGATATTCAGAGAGAGATCTGCTGCCTTGTTTCAAGGTGCAGAGTTGTTCCTTGAGCTCAACAATTCGTATTAAATCACCCTGTGCATATCTAAGCTTAAGGGTTTTCCATACCTCAGCCGCAGACTGGATGCTCCTCACACTTTTTCCAATTACCTCATCGACTGACTGAAGAATCCAGCTCTTGACCATCGTGTTGCAACTCGTCCAAGGCCAGGCCATCGCATCTCCTGCTGCTGGCTTAGGGATGCTTCCGTCTATGAAACCTAGCTTGTTCTTTGAAGCGAGTGCATCGATCATGGCTGCGCTCCAGTCGTTGTAATTGGCCGGAGTAAGCTTCTGAGACACCAGGATCTGGCCGGGTTGCTCAGATCCGTGAAGATAGTATGGATCTGCAAGTGGGTAGCCTGTGGCAGGCCTAGCTCCACTTGACGAACTGTTGGCGGCCGCATCAGTACCGTCCGCCATTGTTGATATCTTGGTGTTTCACTGATTTCGCAAGGAGAAAAGAACGAGAAGAAGAAGAAGGGAGGATGAAAGTGAGGGTGAGCAAGGAAAGGGGTATGGCGCCCCTAACCAGGCTCTGATACCATAACAACGCTTTTGTTGTTTAGGGTTTCAGAGGATTCAACGTACCTCCTCCCTTCTTCACATTTCATATAAATAGTCTGGTTCGATTACAAGCTCCAGCTGTGCTGGTGAAAAGGACGACAGTGAAAATGGAAAAGAACAAACAGTAAAAGAGGTCGTTGTCGACCGTTACAAAAGAAGCAGCGATATTGGTCCATTCAAGACGAACCGCAGCGAGGCGCGTGTCCACCTGGATCCGGATTGGAATTAATAGAAACGGCAGCGTTCAGGGTCTTGGTGGTCTGGCTTCCTTCTGATCCACGTTTGTGACTTGAGGGAGAAGAAAATTCATCATTTTCTTCTGTTACATATGTTGGTGTTGGTGGTAGCTAATTTCGTCGGCGTTGATGGGTACTGTTAGTGTAGAAGCCAAGAAGAAGGCGGTGGCGGTGATGGAAAGAAACAGAGCCAGATCTGTGTTCATCATTAATCTCATATATATATATATGATTCTGAACTGCCTTTTTGGCTGTTTCTTTTTTGTTTTTCTATGTCGTCGATTGTGTCGTGTGGGTTTTGGTTTTATGGAGGAGGAGGAGGAGTAGGAGTAGTAGGGGATCTCTGTAATAAAGTGATTCTTAACTCTATCCTCTCCTCTCCTCTTGCTGTTACTAATGATCGATGAACCAGAGGTTACTAATGCTCGGATTTGAATGTAATTAAAACCTTATTCATGATGTACTGCAACAATAAACGAATAACAGAATTGGACTTTCCCCGATCTTCTTCCTTCCTTCTCTCTATTCTTCTTCCTTCCTCCTCTGCTCTTTGCTTCTTTTCTTCCTCTTCTTGTCAATATCTCTATCTCTTCCCCTAATTTCCCTCACAATTCCACTATTTCATTTAACTGATTCGCAGGGAAAGATCTTGTATCGTCACGTTAAACGCCCCAACAAAAAAAAGTATCATCGTACTACGTACCACGACTCTAAGCCAGTTGCAATGATATATTGGACTAACTCTACGAGCACGGCTGGTAATTTTATCTTTGCTTTCGATCTATTCCTTCAGGCTCCAACACATCTAGTTTGATGAAACCCTAAAGGCGGACGCTTTCTCATTCATCTTCTATCCTTTATAGACAAATCAAAGTAACAAGACAAAATCAGCTCCTTACAGTTTTGTAACATGTGGAACATTTTCTCGATCAAGATATTGTTCGATGTGGGCCTACACTCGCACAATTTTTATCTTAGGGTGCATATATATCAATGTGACTTCTCATAAGATCACTCATCCTTGCAGTACTCCACACTGAACACGTTTTACTGAGAACTATTTCATTTCACCTCAAAATACATCGTGATCGTGTCAATTAAGATCGGTTAACTACGAACAACAATCATCATGGCCCCATTCGAGCCTCGTGCAACACAATTGTCAAAAAACAACTTTTTCAAACAATCATTCTAAACTATTCCATGTGCCCATATCAACACATTGTCACATCTCATCCATCATAGGAGCAAGCCATACATCATCACATGAACCATCCAGTTAGAAACTTGAAACATGGAGAAATAAAGAAGAATATTGTAGTTTTGTATTTGTACTTGTTCCGAAGAAAATTTCGAGAAAAACAAAATTATTTAGAGAGGAATTGTAACATCCTCATTCCTTTTATATGTGACATACCCATACATGTATTGTCGAAATCATGCATTACCAATTGGGAAGCGTTTGTTTGAGTTGAAGCAAACCTATCTCTTCAACATCACGCTAAATCTTCTGGAATTTGAGATTTGATTCTTGTAGGAGCACGACACGAGGTGGTGCCCATGGCCATGAAGCACACCCAGCTTATATATACACTTCAGAAGATGATGTGATCAGTTTGTTGTAAAAACTCAAATTCATGAGTGCAAAGTCCCAATCCCACACAACTCAAACTGAATGAGCTTGGATATTTTATTTTCATACCAGCTTTAATTTTTGGTTCATATTTACTTGCTCAATTGTGTCGAGTCGTGTGCAAATCTCTAATTCTCGCAATCTTATCAAATCCCTCACTTTATCATCATGGTAAAACATTATAACGTTATGATAAGACATTATACCAATATGATGACACAATATGCCACTAAATATTGGATTTTAAATGTATGTAGTAAGATTTATGCATTTTAAATCTTCAATTTAAATGTATGCATTTAAAATTAGCACTTCTACTATATTATAAAGTATTGTTGCTTTAATGTACAACTTGAAATTGTATCATAACGTTAAATGTATAAGTTTAGGTTGTACCAGGAAAAAAAATTGTACTCTTATGTTAAGGTACAACTTGAAGTTGTACCATCATATAAAAGTACAAATTCAAGTTGTATCATAAAAGAATTAGTACAAAAGAGTATAGATACAATTTGAAGTTTTACCATAACATTAAATGTACAACTTCAAGTTGTACTATAAAGACAAAAACCTATAGCACCAATGCTATATAGCATTATAAAATTTCTCAAATTAAAATACCCATATTACCATATTTTTTATTCGTTTCAAATATATCTCCTGTCATAATTTTCCAACAGAAGAACAAAGGGAAGATTGTAATGAATTATGAGTTTGTAACTCATGTTTCTTATGTGAGGAGAAGAAAAGAAAAGAAACGCCCATGAGTTTCTTCTCTAGAACAAGCTCTGCCGTTTCCTTCAAATGCACAAAGAGGTTCTAATTCCACAAAATCTCTCCCTGTCGTTATATCTTTGATCTACCATGGAACTCGTAACATGCAAGCTGAATAATGAAAAATAGTGAGAGAAGAACTCCTCTGCCTCGCAATCCGTGGGTGGTTTTCCTTTTGCTGGGGGAAAAACTCCCTTGCTATTGGGTAAATCAAACTCTGACCCTTCATTCTAGCTTTGAGAAAGAAGAATTTCCCAATAGCAACAATGGAGCATCATCGTCACCAATCTACTACAATAGCATGCTGCTGCTTCATTTGGCTACTGGGATTGCTTCAACATGCCTCTTGTTACGCCACCGAGAACCGAACCAACAAGCTCCCAGAGTTCCAATCGGAACTTCAACGAAGATCATCTTCCTCAGCTGCTGCCGCCGCCTACAATCCGGCCAACAAATCTTCGATATCCATGATGCATCCGAAACGGGTCAGCAAGTTGTTCTTATAGCTTAGCTCCCCTGTTTTCTTCTCTTCGTTTCTGCTTTGCAATTTGTGACTAGTTCAATTTTCGATTGGCAGAGAGGGAAAGTGTTCTACCCGATCGGGTACGGAGCCGACCCGAGCGGATCACGAGACAGTGCAGATCCCATTCTCAGAGCCATCAACGATGCGTTTCAATTGCAGAACGGCCACCGCCGTCAATTGCTCCCCGGGATACACGATTTGGGCGGAATCGTCATCGATCTCCAAGGCGGAAACTTTCTCATCAGCAAACCCATCCGGTTCCCTCCCGGCACCGGCAACATTGTGGTTAGCGATCTAATTGAAGATCCACAGGTCTATCAAAGATCCGCCATCGTGAAAACTTTTAAACTAAATATGCTCTGTTTTTTTTTTTGCAGGTACAGAGTGGGAGCCTGAGGGCGTCCGATGACTTTCCGGCGAACCGTCACCTGATCGAGCTATGGTCCCTTTCGCCACGTGTCACCGACAAGGCATCCTATTACGAGGGAATTACATTCAGAGACATCATCTTCGATTCCAGCTACAGGGGAGGAGGGATTCGGGTCGTGGACTCCGTCAGGATCCGAATCGACCACTGCTTCTTCCTCCACTTCACCACCCACGGCGTTCTGATCATCAAAGGCCACGAGACCCTCATCTCCAGCTGCTTCCTGGGCCAGCAGCCCACGGTCGGCGAGGATCAAATGGAGAAGCACTACTCCGGCACCGCCATCGACATCGACAGCAACGACAATGTCATCACCGACGTCGTGATCTTCTCCGCCGCCGTGGGGATCGTGCTGAGGAGCGAGGCCAACACCGTGACCGGAGTCCACTGCTACAACAAGGCCGACGTCTACGGCGGGGTCGGGATTCTGGTCAAGCCAGAGGCGTCGCTGACTAGGATCGGAAACTGTTACATGGATTTCACCGGCGTGGTGATCGAGGACCCGAGTCAGGTCCGGGTCACCGACGGGTTGTTCATCGGCGGGGCGAATGTGGTTCTCCGGTCGATCAAGGGTTCGATTTCGGGGCTGAACATTGAGGGGAACATGTTTCGAGGGTACGAAGGGGTGGGGAACTCGATTGTGGAATTGGATGGGAATTTCACCGCCGTGGATCAGGTGGTGATCGAGAGGAACAATGTGAAGGATATGGTTCTGAAATCGACCGCCGGGAGGGTGACGGTGGCCGGGCACGGGTCGAGGTGGGTTGCGGATTTCTCGCGGGTTTTGATTTTCCCCAACAGGGTATCTCACTTTCAGTATGCGTTTCACATCCGAGGGGCGGCGGAAGGTGGCGGTGGCGTCGGAAATAATGTGACGCATTGGGTGAGCGGAGTGCGGCGCAATGCGGTGGTCGTGGAGAGCAGTGCAAAGGTGAACGCGGTGGTGTCGGTGGTGGTTGATCAGTATAACGCGGTGGATGAAACGAGTTACTTGTTATCTGAATCTTGAGGTAGGACATTGGAGGGCGATGGTCCTAATTGTACTTTTTTATAGAGGACGAAGCAATCTTTTTTTCATTTGTTCTAAAGGATTTCTTCTCAATTCTTACCAAAATACTATTTTTGGAGCGAGTAGGCTAAAATCATGCCACCCAATCCCATCAATTTTTTTACAGATTTTACCCACATTTGCTTTGCTTCATACCCAGTCAATACGAGGATTCCCAGCGTTGACTGGATTGGGGGTGGTCGCGGGTATGATTGTCATCCTAATTGGGTGCTTGAGTTCAAAGTTCTAAACAATTAATGTTAAGTAAACCCGCTGACTACGCTTCGCGTTAAGTTAGAATTGATAAAAAAAAAATTAGAATTCTCATAGAAAGTGGAAGTTGCTAACCTGTAGCTTTCGATTCTATATATAAGTTGATGTAAACTACATACTACATAGAGGCCAGTTCTGACCAGTGAGTAATACCAGCCCTTATAGGACCATATATTTACATGACTCGCTCGTTGTAGTCTTTCATCGACATACTAAAACTACCACATGACTCTTACCAAATAAACCTCTTATTGAAGCCATGTTTGAGAATCTGCATGAGTAGCCGAATAGGTAGGTACACCGGAAGGGGGGACATTTGGAATATTTAGATATGAGAAATGTTGACGCTAATGTTTGATATGCTCAGATTCCAGATATTTTATGGGTGCATTCTCATAATGTGGCCAAACCCCTAAATTGGATAAACTAAAAGCAAACATATATATATATGTATCCTATAGGCAGAGTGAAGCACATGGTAACACTAAACAACAAAGCTTAAGAAGGCCACCAAATGACTGAGAAAGATTCATGAATGCAAGGTTTTAATTTCTTTCCCACTCTATTCTACTCTCTCTTTGCTTTAACAGGCCCGCCGCTACTCCTCATCTCTTCCTATTCCTAGTAGCCCAACTCCGTTAAAGGGCGTCAAAATTCATATAGAGAGTGCACAACTGGAGGTTGAGCATTCAAAACAGGTCTTAAACCACGAAACTTAAATGGAACTATTTAGAATAATAATAATGAATACATGAGTAGCTAGAAGAGTAAAATTAGACAACTTCAAAACACAAGCTAGAAGGTTAAGAGGCGCTGCAGATTGCAGCTACCGAACACGTACTAATGATTAATAAGGAAGGTAGAAGAGATAATCCACTATGGAATAGGGTTCCGATCAAAGCAAAGCAAGATGCGCAAACAAATATATCATGCTCAATCAAGAATCACATAACCACTACAGGTATATATGGCTAATATAAATATATCCATGCTCAATCATGAGACTCCAAACATCACATTATAGCCTGAAACTGTGATTTTGCAGCTTAAATTAGCTCCTACTCAAAATTATCAACAACTCACTTCAAAAAGAGACATTAGAAGTTGTATCAGCAAGCAACAACTCTGTCTTAGCCATCCGACAGACTCTAAATACATCCCTCTTTCAAATCATAAAGGTTTTAACAGAAAAGGCAGCAATTAATAACATCAAATTCATTCACATAACCTAAATCTTACAAGAACACATGACAGTTCATTAATTAATGAAAAGAGGTCAATAAAGAGTTAAATAAAGTTCGAATTAAAGTTGCATACTCTCATCCAAAGCAAGCTGAGGGAGAAGCTTAGGATTAGATTGTCATTATTAACCGAGTCAACGTCACAAAGTCGCAGAAGGATTGAGTATACAGTACACCAAAAACAGAAGCAAGATAATTCAATAGAGCATATGTACAGTAGAGGAAAACAAAAGGTTTGGGTTTGGGGTGACCATGTAAGGGGCAAGCAACTTTAATGTTACACTATCGGGGCAAGGAGGATAATTAGCTGCATAGACGGAGAAGATGAGTTACCCTAGATACTATCAGCTGAATCTTCTTCTTCCTAACCATTTATGAAAATGATCCCGAGCAATTCAGGGAAGGGAACCCATATATCTGACTCTGAGATTTCCAGCGAAACAGGAAGAAATGTTGTTAATAACATATAATCAACATTTTGGAAGGAACAAGGCAGTAAGGGTAATTTAGATTATCATGTAAGCTACATCTGATCAAAAGAAGGGTCACATACCGATTAGAGACCAATCCTGGTTGAGGTCCTATATATATATTAAGCATTTAACGACTCAACATTTCACCTTGTTGTGGCTTTTTTACTGCTGCATGCGGTTGAATACTCCAAACCTGGTATTGCTTGAGCTTAAATAATATGTACAAATAACAAACAGAGCACTAACATATGGATGAAGCACATCAAAGAATTCTGGAAAGTTTGAATGAAACCACTACACAAAGGCTTATGATCAAGAAGAAAACATTTAGCTTTCTAATCGCAGATAAAGTAGGTAATTGAAACTGATTAACGGCGATATAGAGAGAAGAGAAATTATCTTATATGTAAAAGCTGACTACGCTTTATTTCCCCCAAACTTGCAACTACTGTTTCAATATTTGTCGTTTCTTGAAGGCTTTGGGGCTTCTCGCACCCAGCCATTCACCATTTCACCTCCAAATGGTTACGCCTTCCCTGTCTTTTATCAATCGGTCATGTCATCCGTACTCCATCCCCAGTTGGCCTTACCTCAAAATCTACAGCCGCGAGCCGCGGGATACAGTCTTTTCAGCTCTCAGTTGGGAACGACACGCCACCGCTGATGAGACCTCTTCGCAGCAGCTCAACACGCCACCACCCATAATTGGTACGATCCTCACCTTGCTGCCATCAATTAGTGGAAGAGCCAGCTTCTCTGCTTCGGCCCTCTCAAAACCGTCTGCAACTTTTTTCGATTCTGTTGTTTCTCTCTTCCCCGCTTTGACGCTAGCCTTTGCGACCACCATCAAGTGAAATTCCATTCCTAGGCTATCTACTTCCCCTTTTCTTCTCATCTCTCTTCTGTCGTAGAGTCTGATTTTTGTCACATACTTTCCAAATCTAGAATTCTGGAGAGGTGCGAGAGTTAATTGGGAGGAGGTAATGGAGAATCATTGCCGTCGTAGGGATAGGACCGAAAATGCTGTTGCAGTGCCGAATGATGTCGTCGGCATCGACGGAAGGAAGAGGGGAAGCGAAGATTCGATTGGGAGGCGGACGGAAAGGAGAGCAACCAATGTTTGGGTTCGGAGTGTGGGGGTCTGTTCGGGTTAGTTCTCTGTTTTATTTCTCTTCTTCTTCCAATTTCATCACGTCTGTTTCCTCTCTAATTCTGTACTCCTTCCTTTCCCCTGAAGGTTGCTGCTTAGAACATGGCTTTTCTACGAAAGAACTGCAGTTAATTATTGGTCTCATTGGTGCAACTGTGAAAGAGCTGTTGTTTGTTTATTATTGCTAAACCTTATTGTTATTGTTTGATGGACTGTTATGCTTACACTAGAGCTAATCTCGGGGAAAACTGTAGAGTGTACAACTGAGCTAGGGGTATATTTGCAATTTTCTCACTCGGTTCGCTAGCTTCCAACCAAAATCTGTCAGTAAGAGAGTATATTTTTTGTTCTTGCTTTGGGGTGGCTAAATCTGGATATGTTATATGCAGGCACAGATTGGCGGTGCAAAAGCTGTGGGGTAAGAGGATGGACAATGATGTCATGACTCCTGTTGGAATCAATGATACAAGCAATGGTAAGTGATTTCCTCTGCCTTTGAGATGGTGGATGGATACAAGCAATGGCAATCTTTTTTACTGTTTTCCTCTGCCTTTCGGCACTATGTTTTCCACAGCAAATTTCCTTCATTTGGTTGTTTGTATGTGGAAAAAACTCTCTGTTTGCAAAATCTCATACTGTCCCAAAGTCGATCCAGTATCAGCACCTTGCTCGGTTCTAAAAGATGAGTTCGGTCATTTGCTCATCCGTCATTCACACCGACTTTAGTTATCAGTTACGTTCCTAGCCTCTTCGTCAATTTTTGCTAACAATATTGGTGGATACAAATAATGACACGAGATGTTCTATGTCTTTTAGAGTGTATATGGATACAAGCAACTTTACTCTTTGTTACAATCTTTCTTCAATGCTATTTCTTGCTTCATTGTTTGCTCTGTCAACCTCACTGCTTTCTGATGTCAACCCAAGTTCAAGATAATACATTATGAATAATTTTGTGCTTCACTCCCTATAACTAACCATACCAACTAGAATAGTGTAATGACAGAATAGTGTACTGGCTTTTGGTCCAACTCAGAGTCTACTGGAGAATTTAATTAATAGTCTCCCATGTGTTCTTAATACCATACTTAATTTTTGTCATCAAATCTCTCAATTGAATTTGGAGTATGTTGGAGAATTTAGTTAATGGTCTCATTGAATGCATAGTTGAGGCCCTTCAGTTTCTCATACACGATAATGAGAGCGTGTGTCAGTCTATCATGCTTACTCCAATGCTTGAGTTCTATTCTTCACTTTGATGCTTCTTGATTGATTCTAACTCAAATTTAACTCCTACAGATGAAAGAGACCTCTTTGAGTCTATTGAGCTTCCCAGGACTCCTTTTTTGGTGCTTTGCCACTTCGATATCAGTGGATTTTACAAAATGATTCTTCCATAGTCCAGCAATGCATCATTAATACACATTTCAGTGTTCCAATTATTCCTAATATCAGTGTTCTACGACCAATGCAGGCCCTAGACAAGAGGTTGGTTTGCCTTCTCATGCTTCCTTTTTCATGTTACTTGCCATTTAGACCTGCGTTTGCTGCTCATACGGTTCAGAGGTTGCAGCGGGGACATAAAACCCAACAATGCAGTGCATTTTTTCAAATTTCCATGCATGCTCGACACTTGGTAATTAGTAACCCTATAGGAAGTTATCACAGACAAAGAACCAGTTGAAAGAACCTTCCTTGCTTTCTGCATTTGCAGTTTTGTTGTGTTGTCTCTTGCATAGTCTATCTTTGCTCGATAACATAATTGCACCTCAATGGAAGTACAAATGATAGTTATGTGTACCACATATCAAAGTCCTTTTATGCAATTGAGTCAGACTATTAGATCCTCTTATCTTTGCTGATATATTTGACTTCCATATCAC